TTAGACTTGTTGGTGCCCATGCATTTTGCTACTGCTACAAAGCATTACACTGCGGTTCCAGGCCGGATGTGACATAAAAACAGCTCTTTAAGCATTGGGGTCAACTCAGAGGACTCAGGAAAGCATCTAATGCCAAGAAGCTTTGTATATAGATTCGATTCCGTAGAGCCAAGTTAGATGGATGTCACAATTCGACTGGCACATCATAACATGATCTGATGTTCGATGGTTTCTTTGTGTGTGTGTTCTTTTTTGGGTTTAATCGCTCCAGTTCATGCGTTCAGTCGTTGGCGTCATTTTATGGAGGGACAGTGCTGTTTAAAGAATACACAAAATTATCAAAATTACACAAATACATACTTGGAACAAAAAGCTACTAGTAACAAGTGCATCGCTTCTAGTAACAAGTGCCTTACTAGTAGTAACAATAAAGCTACTAGGAACAAAAAACTACTAGTAACAAAAAGCTACTAGACACAAATACATACCTAAACACCCAAACACCCGTCAATGGACGAGGCGTCTGGTGGCGGTGCGTTCAATCAGTGTGCAAGTTGTGTGGAGCGAAATACCTGGGTTGCTTGTACAGCCAGCACGTCTGACAGGATGTGTTGCTTGCAACTGCACTCCAATCCTGTTAGAGCAAAGGAGATCTACGGAGTCGGGGCGTATGCTCAGTTCCTCGCATCCCAAATCTGACCCGAGGCCCATGCAGGTCAGTGCAGCAGCATAGTCCTTCAAGTCATATGCTCCAGGGCCAGGTGTATTCTCCTCAATGCCAAAGTTGTACTTGAATCTGACAAATTACGTGTGATCTTGGACCTTGGACTCTAGCAGAACTGCCATTGGCTCTTGCTGGTTGATGCTGGTTGTATTGGATCTGCTGCTCGAGTATCAACACCCTGCTTCCAGCACCTCTGCAATCTTTGCAAATGGCAGTCTGTGGTTTATGTTTTGCTGCCTCATGACAAACAACAAATACCCGTCCTGCGCCCAAAGCGACCGATTTCTTGCCCTCGCAAAGGAGTACCTGCCAAAAACTTTATCAGTACAGTATAGCAATTTAGCAAATGAGGCAAAACAATATACTGCAAGCATTGAGCCATAGTCCGCACTGAAATGTAAACAAAAATGCTGGTCCCGCTTGAAACAAGTCTGTTCCGGTGCAGCAGAATGAGCACCTACAGTTACAACTCCATCACAACATGAAAGAACTTGACTTCTGAAGATCTAGCACCGCTTCAGAACATAAGCCAGAGCAAAAAAGCTTGTAATGAACACCCTACTGCTTAGATTGCAATAATCCGTCTCCTTGAGTGCTTGCTATGTGTTCTCTCTTTCGACGAAGAAAAACATCCAAATACTGAGTATATACCGTATCCCTACACCCAAATTGCACTTATGCAAAACAGCTGACCCCTTGAAGTCACATCAAAAACCAAAGCAGGGCGAGGACCTTGGAAGGCTTTGGGGACATGCTCGAGCTGTTGCAAAGCCACAAAGATTCACACTGTCCTTCGACAAGGTGACTCAAAGCCTGAGAAGAGAACCCCAAAAAGTCAGTTGCAGTCCCTATGTTGTTTACTTTTAATAATGTACACACTTATATGCTATTATATTTAAGAAATAAAACAGTAACAACACAATAATTCAGCTTCTGTTCCCGGTTCCGCCTTGCTGAGCTGGGCCTCAAAGAGTTCACCTGTTGACCAATGGACTGATCACCCCACTCCTGCACGAGGCCGTCACTCTGGTGCACGGGACTTTCATGGATTGGGGAGTTCATACTCACGAAATTCATCAAGCATTAGATGTTGTTCAGGTGAGGACCAATGCCTGAGGTCATGATTCAATGGCCTACATATCAAAGAACATATTACGAAGGTATGGTCCACAAACGAAAGTCCCGACACGATTGCTATATTGAATTGCGATCCTTTATTGAAACTGTGGTCATTTATGTCTTCACCTCAAGGCGGATGAGCGCACTTGTTGGATCTGAATTATGGCGTACAGTACCATGATCGTGACCAGTGCGCACATGCATTTGATCGAGAAGACGATGTAGTTTCGTCGCTTTTTGTGTTTTGCAAGCTTCGATTTGGTTCACTGACACCTTCATGCAGGGGAGCCCATTCCGGTCAAGGTTCTCATCCTCCCACGCCATGCCTGTCGACAGCGAGCAGCCAGGTCAAAGACATATTACACAGCCCGAATCAGCCCGAATTGTGACATTCGGAGCCCGAATTGTGGAGCTATTGAGTTTGTAATTTGCCAGAGCTTGTTGAGCCCCTAGTGAGGCCCTAGTGAGTCCCCAGAAAGGCTTCGAGAAAGCCTAAGAATAGCGCCTACACAATTGAGCAGCCGGAAAGTTTGATTTGAAAGCTACTAAGACTCAGAAGATGAAGGTTGCTTATAGGAGGTGCTCAGGACTCAGAAGATCCATGAGATTGAAGCAACCGTGATGCCTAGTGTTCCTGAATGGGCAACCTAGCCTGCCATGCTCTGTGAAGATGTGCCCTGCATCATTGGACCCGGATTTGGTCAGTCTTTAGTTAATACGACTTTTGTGCGGCAACAACCAAATCCTTTCTAGATTGAAAGGATGCCTACTTGCAAACTTCGGAAGCGAATCGAAGGCTTCAAGGTGTCCATCTGCTTTTTGCCGACCTTGGCACCTGTGCCTTCTCCGAATCATTCAATATGCATCCACGGGTTCCATTGAAACAAAGGGATAGTCCGGATAGTCCTATTGATTTCGGTATGGACAGGTGCATCGAGATGAGGGACATATGATATATGATGATGATATACGCAGGGGATATATGCACTGATTGCCCGATATCTATTCCAAGCTTGGGGTTGCAGGTGTCCGCTCGTTCTTTTGAAACTCGTTGCACCTCTCCATATCATTCAGCATCTTCCTAAATAGAGTTGTCTCTACCCGCTGTCCCAAACAAACATCTGTCCAGGCCTCTGTGCCACCAGCTTCAGCTCATGAGACAGGATCTCAAGTCTCTGAAAGCAAATTGAGGTTTTGTAGAAAAAATGCATTGGACAAACTTAAAATTGTTCAGTTCTGTGAGCAAATTCTACTGATTCTAATGTCTTGAATGGCCTAAACCTTCCGTGTCGACCGAATTCAAGGGGAAACCGGGCCGGAAAGCCAAATCCACTTAAGAATAATTCTGCCTCAGACTTTACGCTATAACAAGCCTTTAGAAAACATAGTTTCAAACATGGCCGAGGTGCCTTGACTTGAGCATCAACAGTCACATCGATAATCTGTGTATATACATATGTGTGTATCGTCATCCAGCCGAGCAAATGCCCATTCTCTGTTGCTTCTCCATGGGCCTGGTGTAAGCCAATGCAATATAAATATAATCTCGCTAATTCTGCACTCGAGCTCCACATGATAGCACAGGCTGGCCCAATTAACATGCTTTCTTTGCCCTATCCGTGGCTAGGCCATCTAGGTTGTGGCCTGGAAGCGTGGATGAAACTCCAGTTCATCTATGTATTGTGTTATATTGTAAACACGTCTCGAGTTCTTGTCGAGCCACATGTTTCCTGGTTCATGCCACTATCACCCATGGTCCATTCTTTTGTGGCATCTTGCTAATTTGGCATGTAATGCTCCCAACAGCAATTCCACAAGGCAGAACAACAGGGCCAAACTTCTTCCCACACACAAGCGCAATCTGAACCTCAGGGCTTCGTCCCAACCCTTGTCGAAGGCACAGACGTCTTTCAACACTTGCTTGGTACATTAAATAGAGACATCGTAGCCTTGTGACACTGTCGGTTTCCCGGGCCTTGCCGATCTTGAACTTTGCAGCTACAAGTCTGACAAAGTCTGACAGGTGAACGGTTTCACCGTACCACAAAGGTTGAAGCAAAAGCAGCAAGGGTCTTGGAGTCTTGGACCATCTTGGATCTACCCAAGGTCAAGGCCCATGTTCGACCTGTAAGCAGTTTCCGATTCAAACATGACCCGTTGGAATCCTTTTTGATTGATGAGTTACATTGCCATCAAGATTCAAGATAGGATTCAAGATTGCCCAAAAGGATCCAATAGGGCTCTGGATGTGAATTTGCTCCATATCACATCTTGTCGATTGGCAGTCACCGACCTGGCAGCTGAGGATTGAGCACATCCCGAATGTTCTGGTTGGGTGGTCGAATCCGCTCAAAGAATTGTCAAAGTAACTAACTACTTAACTGACTGAAGATCTTCACCAGTTCATCTTTATCGTACCAGACTTGCATGTTGGCGCACATACAATACAATTGTTACAAAGCCAAATCCTTCAAGAAACGGGTTCTTCATGTTTCATTTGAATGCAATAATAATTGAACCTGACATCTTGAATAAAGTTGAATGGTTTAATCTTTTCTATGATTTCCCCTTGATTTGAATCAATGACCCGGGCTGATGTGCTTGTGTAACGTGGCTGACTTTTTGGATCCGCATTCCGGCACTTTTGCTGAATCAGCTACAAAAATATGCATTCAAATCAGGGCTGAAAGTTCAAAGACAGCCGCTACTAGGCCGCTACACATCATCAAGTGTTGGAACGGCGAGTTGACCCCATTCCACTTGGTCAAAAAGTTTGCAGGTCGCAGGGCTTGGAATTCCGAATTTGGCACAGCGTCCTAGGAACTGGAACTGGCGTCTCAAGCACAGGGTGCGAGGCAGCACATACATCAGCTCCCAAACCAAATTGGATGCAGGGACCCGCAGGGTGCATGAATTCCATCAGTGGGTCTTTGAAAGGTCCCGCATTCTTACACCGAATTTCTGCGACCAGCAAAAGCTATAACGGACTGGGGTCAATTCGTCTGGGTATTTGAGATGGACTCCTGCCGGGAGGGCGGAAAAGCATGACTGGCGAACACTCATTGATGAGCACCACAAAGCTTTGGCCATTGCCACTATTGCCAGGTTGTCGCACAGGTGGCACTCTTGCATGAAAACAACTGAAGAAAATTGAATTTCACCATTTGAGCTTGCCGTCGATGTTGTACTTCTTCAACAAGCCCGCGTAGTAGGCCTCGCTACCTTGCCCATTTTTGGCTTCCAGCGAAGGCTCAATCTTGTTGAATTCCTGGGTGATGGATGGAACATCAGGAATACTCTGGATACTTATGATCCTTCATGACACTTCAGCTTTAAGCTACATAATATACTCTTTTGCACAGAAATATACTGCCTTGCCATAATCCGAATGAATCTGAATAATGCATATATAATAACAATCGTTACTATTGCATGTATATATATATATACATACACACACACGCCCGTATTCTTGCCACAGCTGGAACGAATTCAGCAGTCATGTTGCCAATGGCAGGGCATTGTACAAAATCATTATATAAAACAATACAAAACATCTGGCTTACGATTCCACAATATGTACACTGTTGCAAAAAAAAACTTGACTTAAATGGAAACATAATGCAAGAACAATAAGTTGCCTGCAAAAAGTCTGATTTATATAGAATGTACCAAGGCTCCTTCACCCATTTCAAGGTTTCAGCATCACAGGGAGCTTGGAAGTGGCAGTAGGCGCCCTGGTCAAACCAAGAGAAGAAGGACTGCAAACGGATTAGCTCCAAGGCTGACCCAGGTAGAGTGCATCCGTTGTGCTTCAGCATTTGGTAGGCATACCTCAAGAAATTCCATGGCCCTCGCAAAGAGCTTGGTTTACAATGTTTACAATCTATGTCGATGTCTTGACTCAAGATCAAGATCAGCTTACACCTGTTCAAAGGACATACAATAAATATCATATATTCGAATGAGGAGTGGTAATTCAGGAGGGAAGAAGGTGTCAGGTGTCTCTATGACTAAAGAATAGACAAGCTGTAGATGCAATAGTCAAGCTTTGCAAAGTTTAGCAATGGTTTTGAGCGCACACGAAGCATCGACATAAATTAGGCAAAACACTCATCCTTCCCCCATGACATGATAAGATTGGAGATGCCACAGCCAGCCTTGTAGATGCCATTCTTGGTTCCATAGAGTGGGTGCGAGTAGTCTGGATTTGTTTTGAAGGCTTCAGGCAAAAGACAGGCGTCTTCCGCTGGTGCACAACCAACTGGGAAGGTATCACCCAGCACAGCCCATTGATCCAAAGCCTCCTGAAACATGTCTCATGTCATGTCGGTCAAAGGCCATCAAGCGTGTGTGCAATTACAATTATTACAGTCTGTATGAGTCTATGTACATACTATCAACCCGATGACCCTGACCTCAAACTCTGCAAGCTACCGTGGCTTCCTGACTGACATGTGTAGACTCCATACACAAGGCAAAGCCTTACCACTCACATCCAACGTATATTGATTTGTAACATGTTGTAACTCTATTGAAAAAAGAGTGCTCTGCGAATGAAAAAAGCAACTGTCCCCAGAAGCACACTCACTCACCCCGTCCTGGCCCGCAACCTCAGGAGCAGCCATGATCTTGCCCAGATTGTGGAGCAAACCCACCAAGTGGAACCACCTGGTTCTGGGAGGGCAGGAAAACTCCAACGCAGCCCGGTAACCATTGGTGACCCTTGTTCTGTTAACCTCGTCTACCTCGGTCTGTTTAACCCTTACCCTGTGGGAAAGGTGGAACTACAATCCAGGTTTACAACCAAGGAACTCATACTCCTCTCCAGGCCAGGAAGCCCTGATACATTCAGCTCGTTGGAAGGGCTCATCGTCCAAAAACTTCAATACATCCATGATGCTCTTCTCTCCTTTGTTAAATTTCAACCATCGCTCCTGTCAAACACATCGCAGTACCCTACAAAACAATACAGCTGCAAGACGTCAGCTTGAAGTGAGCTGCTCGAGTCCTGCTGGCCTTTGACAAAAGCCATGGTTTGCTTGGCATGCTTCTCATCCGAGGCTGAGGTCTGGGGATATCCTCGAGACAGGTCGGGCTCGGAATGACAATCCGTCGACCATCAATAGGGGAGGGAAAGGGTAGAGGGAATGCACTTTTTCCGGTGGCCCCTCCAGTTCATATTGCATTGTTCAAGAAGCCCCGGAAACACAACTTTACTTCATAGGCCAGGCCACAGCCATTAGAGCGCACAACTATTCATATGATGGGGAAGTGCTCAGGGGATTGCAATTCCAAGATCTTCCAAGGATTTCAAGGCTCAATATGGAAGATGTTCAGGTGGGGAATAACTTTTCGGGCTTGTCCCTCGTTTTTGGTATCTCACCACCGATGGCGGTGGGTCTTCATCTTCCATCCAGAGTTCCGTCAGCATGGAAACAGTGACCTGGCAAAAAGCAGCTGGAGACGTCTTGGGGTGCATGAATGGTGACCCATTCAAACGACGCGTGTCACTTTGACGCCGGCCCACTCCTTCTGGCACCTGTGTTCGCAGCAGCTTCTGTGGCGGCTCAGGTGTGGGCAGCACGTGAGGCTGGATGGAGGCCACCTCAGGAAGTTGACAGCAGATCGTCAACACCGGGGATAACGAGCAAAAGCGTGGTGGTGACGTCTACTGACCACAACCTTCCTTCTACTGAAAGCTCTTACATGCATTTGCACTACATGACTTACATGACACTACCTCAAAATAAAACAGAAACTCCTGGAACATTGGAAAAAGTAGGTGTACTCCTCTCATTGCTCCTTTACTCACTTACAGTAAGTTTCCCTAAAACTCTAGGAACCAAATCATGAGCGCGAGCCATCCTGCGTCCTGTCGGTAGTAGCGTCCACTTGCAGTTAGTAGTGCTAATACCTCTATCAGCGGCCAACCTTTGCCCCTCACGGGCTTCAAAAAAAGGTATATGATATATGATATATGTTTTTGCTAGTTGCTCTGAGTGAAGTCAAACTCCCTAACTTCACCCTAGGGGGCTCCAAGAGACACCAACCTGGACAGTCATTCCCTGCTTCCAGGACATCTCCGCCGCGATGGTGGTCCGGACAACGTTGGGATGTCGCAGCATTGCCTGCTGCTCCAGGCGATGCATCTTGCTCTCTGGGCCGGCCCGCACCAGCTCGATGAACTCCGTCAGCTCAGAGCGATAGGCCTACGGCATCAACATTCATAGCTCAAAAGTTACAAATACCTACTCCAACTACTCCGATGTGAAAGCTGATGGTTTGTCTTTTTGTGCTTCATCATCAAACTCCGCGGGGCAACACACCATTGTGCCATCTACAAGTCCCAAAAACCTGGAAAACTGCCAGATTTTTGGCCCAGAACCTCGCCCTTTTGTTTAAAGCGTAGTGGAGGCCTAATGTCAGAACCACAAATGGCGCAACTCCAACCAATGCATCGGCTTCAATTCAGCAAATCTCAGAATGGCCCCCAGCTTGCCAAAGCAGCATTTGGACGCTGCGCCAAAAATGGCGCAATACCGAAAGATGAATTCGAGCACGAGCGCTAACCTTTGTTCTACAGCATTTGCAATCAAAACCCATTTTTTGACCTCAGCAATGCCAACAGCATGTCAACTCTGTTGATATAATCTCTACTTGCACAGCCCTGCAGCATGTTCAGCAGCACTTGGACGCTCCTTCAAGTCTTCTTTTGGGATGGGAAGAAGAGGAGGCATTGGGGTGGAAGTGGAATGCGCCATCTACAGAATCTACAAACTTGTTTTTGTCAAGGTGCAACCTTGGACCTCGTGGTTTTTAACGCGGAGTTTGCGTGGTTTCTAGCTCGAAGATCATTCAATTGCACATGTGGTGTTGAGCCTCATGAATATGCCGGCTACCCCTGAGTTGTGCCAACAATTTTCTCAGCGGTGTGACCAACTGGGTTCGCCGATGAATATTCAAGAAACGCTGTCCGGTATAAATCTTAGCTTGTGCGGCCACAAATCTTCTTGTGCGGCTATAATATCGTTCCAAAGTTGTTTGGTTTCTTGAAACTTTAAACCAATGCGGGGGATGCTTTGTGCAGGCGCCTTTCCTCTTTTTAAGAAACCACAACACTGCAACTGCCACTTGTAGGGCAATCCAAAAACCCTTCTCATCCATCAGAACATAACACCAGCATAGACCCCAAATAGCGAAGACATGCAAAAAATTTTTCTGGACTGCGCTGGCAGGAACCTTTTTTACACTGGAACAAACGCCGCAGTACAGCGTGGCAAGTCTCCACTACGCACACAGCCGGCACCAGCACCCGGCACTCAATCTCCACCACAGCCAGCACCAGCACCCAGCACCGGCACGCCAGCTCACAGCACCCAGCACCAGCACCCAGTCTCCACCACGCGCACACCCAGCACCCGGCACCCTGTTTCCACCACGCGCACAGCCAGCTCACAGCGCCCAGCACCAGCACCCAGCACTGGCACCCAGTCTCCACCATGCGCACAGCCAGCACCCAGACCGGCGCCCAGCACCGGCACCTCCAGTTCACCCAGCACCAGCACCCGGGACCGGCACTCTGTCTCCACACGCGCGCAGCCAGCTCACAGCACCCAACACCAGCACCACAGCCAGCACCACCACAGCACCCGGCACCGGCACCCTGTTCCACCACACGCACAGCCAGCTCACAGCACTCAGCACCAGCACTCCCTGTCTCAAAAGCGTGCGCAGCCAGCTCATTGCTATTTGAAGTAACAACCCCATAGCTGTCGCTATCTGGGGAAAAAGGACTGCTCCACACACCAAGGTTGCAGTCCTTATCATGTCATTAATTAATATATGTATATGTATATGTATATATATATATATGTGTAAATGTATATATGTAATGTATAACAATATAGTAATTAAGAGATATTGATATAGGTGGTGAAATGATGTGTAATATGCATCTGTTCATGTCGTTCCAGTTGACCCGCTTGCCTCATGGTACCGCTGCGGAAAGCTGTACATGGCGGGCGGCATCAAATGGCCATCCGCCGTAGCAAGCTCGATGGTGCTCGTCAAGTTGTTCTTGGCACTGAGCATGCCCTGCTCGCCGAAGGCCTCGATCCGTTGATCGTAGCCTCGGACAAGTGATTGAAACTCTTTGGGATAAGAATATGTAAAATGTAATAGTACACTTAAAGTAAGGAAGGTTAACTTAGTTACTTACTGTAACTTGAGTAATTAGTTCTACAAGATAGAAGCAAGGAAGCTTCTAATACCAACTGGACGAAGGGCTTGGGTTCTTTAAGCAAGCTACCCCACCTGCTTTCATTGACGTCGCATGGTCGATATATCATATATATATAGAGAGAGAGATAGAGAGAGAGAGAGTTCACTATAGTTGCCATGCATTTCTAAACCTAGGTAAACTTAGGTCAACTGAAATTGATTTTTTGACTTAGACTCAGACCCTGTTGCAGATCACTATTCATCACAAGTTCTTGACGCAATATATATTCTTCGTTCGCTGTGATCAAATCCATGACACTACACCGGTGATGGATTGAAATTATCCTTCGGGGGAGAAAAATAAACTGCAGGACAGGAATAAGATATCCGAAGTTTCCTCTACACTTCAAGTCTCATGCTGATATTTGGGGGTTGTTCAAAAGTCCTTTCATTTTTTCCAGGCCTTTCGCAGGACCTTCGCGAAGCTTTCGCAAGCTTTCGCGCGTGGGGTTTTACCACTGTCGGCGAAAATGGTTTTTCGTTGGGGCTAGAGGCTTTCAAGGATTCATGCGCTTGCCCTGGCACGTCTTGTGTCCTCTGATCACTGACACATTGATTGCTGAGGAACGGGAAGCCAGCCAACCAAGACATTTTCATGTTGGTGTGTTTTTGGTTGGGTGCAACCCTCCATGAACAAGAGACGGCTCAGTCAGGCCAGTTTGCTCAGACTTCCAATTTGCTTTTTCCCGGGCCGGGAAAAAGCAAAATGGTACAGACTTCGAATTGGGAAAAAGCAAAATGGTTCAGACTTCCATTTTGCTTTCTTTCCGGGCCAGGAAAAAGCAAAATGGTTCAGACTTCCAATTTGCTTTTTCCCGGCCCGGGAAAAAGCAAAATGGCCAGACTTCCAATTTGCTTTTTCCCGGCCCGGGAAAAAGCAAAATGGTTCAGACTTCGGGTTTGCTTTTCCCCAACCCGGGAAAAAGCAAAATGGTTCAGACTTCCATTTTGCTTTTTCCCGGGCCAGGAAAAAGCAAAATGGTTCAGACATCCCAGACCGGGAAAAAGCAAAATGGTTCAGACTTCCAATTTGCTTTTTCTCGGGCAGACTTCCAATTTGCTTTTTCCCAGGCCGGCAAAAAGCAAAATGGTCCAGACTTCCAATTTGCTTTTTGCAAAAGGCTCAGACTTCCTATTTTTCTTTTTCCCGGGCCGGGAAAAAGCAAAAGGCTCAGACTTCCAATTTGCTTTTTCCCGGGCCGGGAAAAAACAAAATGGTTCAGACTTCCAATTTGCATTTTACCGGGCCGGGAAAAAGCAAAAGGCTCAGACTTCCAATTTGCTCTTTCGCGGGCCGGGAAAAAGCAAAATGGTTCAGACTTTCAATTTGCTTTTGCCCGGGCCGGGAAAAAGCAAAAGGCTCAGACTTTCAATTTGCTTTTTCCCGGGCTGGGAAAAAGCAAAATGGTTCAGACTTCCAATTTGCTTTTTCCCGGGGCGGGAAAAAGCAAACAGCTCAGACTTCCATTTTACTTCCAATTTGCTTTTTCCCGTGTTCAGACTTCCAATTTGCTTTTTCCCGGGCCAGCAAAAAGCAAAAGGCTCGACTTCCAATTTGCTAGCTGGGAAAAAAGATTCCCAGTGGCTCACTCCGGAGAAATAATTTGCAACTGGGGAGATTAGTCAAGCATTCAGGACCTCTGTACGCCTTCCATTGAAGTGGCAAAACCATGCAAAAACAAAAGATAAGAGGAGGCTGACCCAGCAGTAGAAACCATAGCCCAGAACCTTCTACTTCTGATCTTGATGCCTTATCCATTAGGCCACAGCTCCTTGATTTTAGTTTGTAAAGCTGATACAAGCTGCTTTTTCCCAATTTGACTCAGACTTTCCCCGCCCGGCGAAAAGCAAAAAGGTCTACACTTTCAATTTGCTTTTTCCCGACGGTCAAGACTTCCAACCAAGCCATTTTCATTTTGCTGTGTTTTTGGTTGGGCCCAACCCTCCATGAACAAGAGACGGCTCAGTCAGGCCAGTTTGCTCCAGTTTGCTCAGACTTCCAATTTGCTTTTTCCGGGCCCGGGAAAAAGCAAAATGGTCTAGACTTTCAATTTGCTTTTTCCCGGGCTGGGAAA